CTCCTCTTATTATTAACAACTGCTTTATTTTCTCCCTCTCTTTATAATTTCGGCTTTTTATTTTATTTATATTATATTTTTAACTACTTTTATCCTAAAACTACCTAAGCTTAATCTCCCATAATTTACATTTTTTTGGGTATGGTGGTTTACCCCTATTATTACATTATTAATTATTTATATATCAACCCCACCTACCCCGTCGGCGACATTGGCCATGCTAAAAGCCGACGTAAAACTATAAATTTCGTTCGTTCGTTCGTCCAATGCATCACTTTCGAAATGGCAAATCAGCAGTTAGAGTGCAAGTTCATTCCAACTTCACGTGGAGGAAGGTGTCTCTGTATAGATAGGATACATGTTTAGAGTGAGCCGCAAACACAATGCTGCATCGCGGATATCATGGATGTGCCTAGATAAGAACTGCACTTAAACTATTTCTACAGTTGAATGATGACATTCAAATGTATATAAATTATTTGTTATCGATAACTTGTCACGGATAAAAATGTCATATGTATTTTAAGGGGTGTAAATAATGGTTCGTGGGAGTATTTCATTTATTTACCGGTTAACAATTTAGTATCATCCATCTGCTTAAAATCACACAGAACCTCCGTTCTGTATCAGATAATTTGAGACACCTGCGTGTGGGCCACTTCTTGTTTATTCTAGGTAATTAGCAATCAGTGTGATCAACTGATCTGGATCTGATCTTGTTGGGTTTGGGGTATTTGCATCAGAATGACAATAACTGATTCATGATCAGGAATGTAAAACTATATACACTTCTGTTATTACCTCAAAGACCGGTTTGAGGAATTTAAGCAATTCATATCATCATGACATTAGATGTTTTGGTTCAGTTCTGTGTTGGACCTATTCGATACACTATGTTTCAGGTGTACGAGGTCAGATAAAGTAGGTTGTATATATATATATATACAAATTATACAACGTCATGAACAGCAATTATGATTGTATGTTTCATTGGCATTCTAGCATGCGGCTTCTTAATAGCAACTTCTTGTTCTTTGCATAAAGCAACGAGTGACGAGCGCTGTGAATGTAGTGACTGACGAAGGGTACTACATACCATAGCCTACGAAGAGCTGACCAAGCTATAGACTTCAATCAGCACCCGTTTTTTATGACTGTTTTTACAACTTAATCCGTCCTGCTTATCGGCTTCATGGCTGTGCTATTTATTGTTCTTACTTCCCACCTGGCCTCGTCCAATTATCTACCCCTTGTTATTCAAGTACACGATGTTTGTCACAGCATTCGATCATTCTAATCACTTGGTTTTTGTCACCGTTAGCTTGAACATGGTGTGAGAACCTACACAGAAACGTTGCTCTATGCAATTAACAAGAAGTTGCTATCAAAAAGACCGTATGCTTTTATTAGCAATTTTGCTGTCGCATTCCTGGGAAATTAGAGACAATTGTGAATGTCGAGTCACCACTGATTTTTTTAAATGTTAGTCACCCAGGATTCCTACAAAATATCGTGTTAAATTGTTTGAAAATATACCAGTCCTAATGATTCATTCATCCACATCTCTTGTTTACCTAACACTGCCGTTGCAATAAACAACCTATACATTGGATCAGTAAAAGAGCAAAACTTGCTTATGAAAATATCTCTTCAGGTAATGTGTTGAAACGGCTGGTTTGTGCACATAGATAGTGCTAAACATAATGTACCATTGCACAAATGAAATGCATAAAGTCAGTATTTTGAAGTCAGTGGTCCAACAAACTATAATGTCTACGTTCTATCGAAAAGGTATCAAACTTTTCTTAGATAAAATGGTGAATGAAACTTGATGAATACGTTTGGAAAGAGCTACGATATATACCTGCAAAACGCAGAGGTTGTTCGAGATTTATACAGTATTGTGATTTAAACAGTATTTTTTTAAAATTTCCATTAATGTTTACATTTTTTCATAATACACGACATAACAAAATGGAAATAGGATTACCAAACATGCCATATGGCCTATGTCAATGCTTCTCCGCATATAGTTCGTTATTATCTTGACTTAATTCTATGGAGCAGACATTGGGACATTAATGAATGAATCAAAACAAAAGAAAATAAAGAACAAGACACCAAGTGCATTTTATGTTTATAGGTTGTTACTTGAATTCCGTAAAGCGGTTAGTTTCAGTTATATAATTCTGAACGGATTTTATAAGGTTTTCATTGTCTAAAGGAGATAAATCGTCATTGCCGTGAAGTATAGTATATATGCTGAGGTGGTTAAGGACAAAGTATCTCCTCGATGAATTTTCACATTGTTTTGTCACTGAACAACACGCTCCATGCTGTTGCTACCGAGATCATAATATATAGATCTTATCTATTTTATGATTTGTGTTGTAATACGAGTGTGAAAGGGAACGATTATTCATACAATAATATCATGAGAAAATATACCAATCACGAATTAAACGCATATGATTTGCACACCACTATATGATTTTAGATACTCACGTTAGTGACTTGCATTCATATCGTTCTTTCAACACATTTTCGCTTCATGGATGACAACGTCTATATTATATAGGATGCGGCGTTTCAGTATAGATTATTATACCGTTGTCAAGCGAGACTGAGGTGCTGTAGCAGACTTATATATACATCAACATGGATTAAGCAGTTCAAATCCGCGGACACAAGCCCTCCATCAACAGAGATGAAGGATATCTCATCCCATCTGCATACAATGAACTGATAGCAACAACTTAGCAGAGCATTCCAGCCATGTATATTTTTACCTTTTGGACATTTGACTTCCCCCTGTTGTCACTGCTTTATTACCCTATCCTATAGTTGTTGCTGTTAATCCCTTTGATGCACGCCTACATGTTGTTTTACTTATTCCCTGTAACGTCTGATCTGTGCAAAGAGTGGGCACCTGCTCCTTTCGATAATTATGATTACCCCCTCTCTAATAGAGTTTTGTCATTTGCAATGAATTATAGTAACCCTTATCGTAGATTACCCAGCAACATATGTTTGCTTGGACACTGAGCCGTTGCCTACCTTTTCCTGTACCACATAAAATCTGCATGGTATGCCGGTTGATATTGTTATTTGAAATCGGCAGACAATGCACACCTGTTGTTGCTGCAGGACAATGAATATTTCCGATATGACATTGTAAGTACTTGGAGGTGCAGACATATGACTTAAATATGTTTGCGCATGCTGCTTAATATCATATTTGTGTAATACCACAATATACATGGATAAACTATCAAACTATGCATCGTTTAGAAAAAAAGTATTTTAATACATGAAAGAGAATATTTATAAAGTTATAACTTGTGAACTTTAATTGTGCGGACCCAATGTATGTTTCATTACAAAGTTCTGTTTATGTCTTCCTACAATCAACAAAATATCATCATCTGGTGTTTAACTGAACCGATAAAACCTACTGGATAGACGTGTATTGTCCATGCGGCACCACCCGACATTGTTTTGGTGTTTTCCCCTGAGTGGCCGCTCTCTGGATTACGCAATTGTTAATTGCTGTGGCCACCAGGGACAACCGAACCGGGACGGTGGCCGCTTGTAGGGACAGCCCCATAAACAACAAATTATCAGGTGTGAAAACAATTAGATTTTCTCGGGTATTGTCACTTTGAACAGTGATACATTGTCGCTTAGGTATTGTTTATCATCTCAGTTCGGTACGCTGGTCATGTTGGGCGTGTTGATGGAGGCATTTCTAGGAATATGTAAATGATCAAATATTGTTATTATGTATCTAGTATGTGTCCAAACATATTGAATGCATTTATATTTATAGGAAAAGGCTGAGGGTTTTTCATGTTGTTCAGAATATATGCTAATAATAAGCGTTCAATGATTTGAATACATGAATTCATTCACCTAAACTATATACAATGTATATATAGAGATGATATATATGCCAGGGTAAAGATTGCAAGCGGAGTCTGTACTGGTAGAAACTTATAACATGTATATAGAATAACCTATGCAATTGCAATCTCTACCAGTGGAAGCTCCATTCTGATCCTACATATGATTTTTTCATATGTGAAACCATAGTTTGTATCAACAAAATGGTTATGATTAGGACATTATCAATTAATGCAATTTGTATTAAAGTGAGATACATTGATATGGAATTATTTGAATTTCTTTACATTTTTCACATATCAAAATAACATGCATAACAAATGAATATTATTGTTCAGCAAATAAAGTGTTGTTTGCCTACAGAACAATCAGGGTTTCTACCAGTTGAATTGAAAATTGTACTGGTAGAATCGGATCTGACAGGTAGGATCCGATTTCAATCTCTACTAGTAGGATACTGGTAAAGACTGCGAAGTCTCTACTGGTAGAATCTCCGATCAGATCGCAATCTCAACCCTGACAAATATTTATATATATATATATATAGGACACATATTTCTCCGAGAGGATCTATCTCTGAAACATTTGGCAACAGGGCTCATGTCTAACATGAAATGACTGTAACTTCGTCCAGTGAAACTCATGTTATACAGAACGTGAATAAAAGATGTATAAAAAAATCACCCATATTATTTTTATTTTCATTACGTCTTGATAAGATGTTAAAATATGCCTTGTAAGATTTGTGAGGCGATCTACTTCTGGGAACCATTATCCCCTCCAACTTGAAGTTGTTTACAGGAGATATTTAAATAAAGTCCATATTGAATTATGACTAAAGTGCGTATGTTCGCCCCACCCTGACAGACATGTCCCTTACATGACGAAGTGTGTATGTTCTCCCCACCCTGACAGACATGTCCCCCACATGACGAAGTGTGAATGTTCTCCCTACCCTGACCGACATGTCCCCCACATGACGAAGTGTGTGTGTTCTCCCCACCCCGACAGACATGTCCCTTACATGACGAAGTGTGTATGTTCTCCCCACCCGGACAGACATGTCCCCCATATGACAAGTGTGTTTGTATTTCCAGACTGGGAAACCCTGCCCTGGGAGCGAAACCTCTGGTCCTGGACAAGAAGAATCTGTGATGTAGATGAAATATGTCATTTTCAATAAACCATCACACCATAATTATGTGTCTGTATTTTCCTGTGCATAAGATTTAAACCAGCTTTTCTTTGAAATCCTGTTTCGTCTTACTGTAGCCTAGATGCATCTTATTGTAACCGAGACTCCTAAAATCAAGCTCACGCTTGTTGTTAAAACTTGTCACACATACATTGAACAGTGTGCTAATCCACACTGTGCATTCTGTAACCCATAAGTGATGTGTGACTATCTTGATAGAGGCGACAAACCCTTTTCACATTCATGGAAACCTCTCCCAAAAGTACATTGTACAATTGTGACTATATGAAGAGGATATATTTGTTTCAGCAGTATAAAAGCTGCACAATGTTGTTTGTAAACAAATCGGGTCTGAACCAGACAATCCAGTGATGACACCAGGTGTTCGCGTGGAGCGTATCCTGCCCCACGGGTGGCATCCGTCAGCAGACCCATGACTGATATGGAGAAAGACGCCTTAGCAGTGAGATGGGCAAAGCAGAGATTTAGAATGTGCTTTTCAGGCGCTCGGAAGGATCTAGGATTGATTACACACATCGTGTTCCTGATAAACAAAATATTAAGCGCTGATGTAACCGGATTGATGGAAATGACAGGAAATTGATTATGCTGCACGACGTCATGCAACAACTCCATGGTAATAGTTGTTTTGCTTCTCTTTCAATTGGGGGCGGTTGGGTAGTCTAGTGGTTAACGCGTTGGCTCGTCACGCCGAAGACCCGGGTTCGAATCCCGACATGGGTTCAATAAGTGAAGCCCATTTCTGGTGTCCCCCGCCGTGATATTGCTGGAATATTGCTAAAAGCGGCGTAAAACCAAACTCAGTCAGTCAGTCTCTTTCAATTGCTTCATCTTCAGCGTCAGTCCAGAGACCGCCTCCGTGGTGTAGTGGGTAGAGGGTCTGTCGGGAGACCGCCTCCGTAGTGCAGTGGGTAGAGTGTCTGACCAGAGACCGCCTCCGTGGTGTAGTGGGTAAAGGGTCTGTCTGGAGACCGCCTCCGTGATGTAGTGGGTAGAGGGTCTGTCCGGAGACCACCTCCGTGGTGTAGTGGGAAGAGGGTCTGTCGGGAGACCGCCTCCGTAGTGCAGTGGGTAGAGTGTCTGACCAGAGACCGCCTCCGTGGTGTAGTGGGTAAAGGGTCTGTCTGGAGACCGCCTCCGTGATGTAGTGGGTAGAGGGTCTGTCCGGAGACCACCTCCGTGGTGTAGTGGGAAGAGCGTCTGACCAGAGACCGCCTCCGTAGTGTAGTGGGTAGGTTGTCTGTCCACAGACCGCCTCCGCAGTGTAGTGGGTAGAGCGTCTGTCCGGAGACCGCGTCCGTAGTGTAGTGGGTAGAGTGTCTGACCAGAGACCGCGTCCGTAGTGTAGTGGGTAGAGGGTCTGTCCGGAGACCGCCTCCGTGGTGTAGTGGGTAGAGGGTCTGACCACAGACCGCCTCTGTGGTGAAGTGGGTAGAGGGTCTGACCAGAGACCGCCTCCGTGCTGCAGTGGGTAGAGCGTCTGACCAGAGACCGCGTCCGCGGTGCAGTGGGTAGAGCGTCTGACCAGAGACCGCCTCCGTAGTGTAGTGGGTAGAGTGTCTGTCCGGAGACCGCGTCCGTAGTGTAGTGGGTAGAGTGTCTGTCCGGAGACCGCGTCCGTAGTGTAGTGGGTAGAGAGTCTGTCCGGAGACCGCGTCCGTGGTGTAGTGGGTAGAGTGTCAGTCCAGAGACCGCGTCCGTGGTGTAGTGGGTAGAGTGTCTGACCAGAGACCGCGTCCGTGGTGTAGTGGGTAGAGGGTCTGACCAGAGACCGCGTCCGTGATGTAGTGGGTAGAGGGTCTGACCAGAGACGCGTCCGTGATGTAGTGGGTAGAGCGTCTGATCAGAGACCGCCTCCGTGGTGTAGTGGGTAGAGTGTCATGACACACATTTGAACTCATTTTGACTTAATTCAGCTAATTTAGAGCCATATTAAAAAATCTCGACCATTGGCGAAAAGCATTTTGGCCGATTGGCGAGAATATTTACTTTTACTCAAAATACATGTTTTTCCATGTTTTGGAGGTTGTAAATGAATGAAAGTATGTAATAAGCATCAAGACACAAAATTCAGCTCATTTTGACTTAATTCGGCTAATTTAGAGCGATATTTAAAAATCTGCATTATTTAAGGTAACATGGATTAGCTAATAATAATTGCCGGATGACCCACATTCACTCAATCATACCCATTGCCGGTTGAACCACACCATTTTCAACTCTTGTTTTCTTAAAAGTAGCTTTCCCGGGCTATAACTATCAGCACAGCCCAATCCGACCATCTGTCATTAATTACCTGTCATGAGCTATCAGTTGTATTGAAAGCTCTCGCCTATTGTTTCATTACTAAATTGTTTCACGGATAGGTATGTCACTCCAAATTCACCATATGTGCGTGACTGACCTCTCCGACGTCCGCGCCCACCTCTCAACCTAGCAATCTCGATTCACTTTCAGCTCACTATCCAGCCATCTATAACTTCACCTCTCTCTCCAACCACCTGTCTTCTCAGAGGTCCGCGCGCCTCTCTATTCCTTTATTATTTCACACCAACTCTACCTCCCAACAACATTTGGCGATGGTCACCGAGAGCAGTTGTATTCAAAATCACTTGCGATTGCAATTCCCTTCCTTTTCAGTTATCTACGTCTTGATAACATTATCGTCCTTAAATGAGTCAGCGATCTTCCCCTCCGTCTCCTGGGTTGCCACTGGATATTTGCTTGGCCTCTGTGGCCTATGGTGAAATCCACCTGCAGCAGGTCACCCGCTCGAGCTCTCCAACATGGCGTCCGATCGAAATCGGACTATCACTCGACCGTCACCACAACCGAAATGACGGGCCTCCTCCTACACCTCAAGGATCAATGTTGACACCAACCCTCGATCAGCAGAAAGACAAACGCCCCTCAAGGAAAGACTGTAAGCTCCTCTCTACTACTTTCACCACCTCACCCTCCCCTTCACTCACGTCAACTCCCGCTAAAACTTCACAAAGTTCCCAGTTCCGACCTCTTGATCTAAGCAACCCCACTTCTCTCATTCCATCAACGTTTCCTAAATCTCCTCCAAAATCGCCCACCATTTCCATGGCTACCCCTTGCAAGTCCCAATCAACTCTATTAAATAACCTAGCTTCGACTACAGCCTTGGGTGGCAAACGTCTTAGACAATCCCCACAGGACCTGCAAACACAATCCAAGATGCAAAAACGACAAGGTTCTAACCAAACACAACCAAACAATAACCAACAGTTAATACTTCTCGCATTCAATACAGGTCCCACGCCTCTCACCTCCCTGTACACAAAAATCAGATTTGGGCTTATACTAAAACAATCTAATCTCAAATTCAAATTCCTAAACAACTGCGGCAGGGCTTTCAAAATAAACTTTCAGCATCAAGACGACCTCAATGCGGCAATGAAAAATACATCAAAAGATGGCCTCAACCTATCTTGGCAAACACCCTGTTGGCTATCCGAAACAAAAGGGGTCATTTACACTGACCCAGCGGAGTCTGGCCATGACCTTCAGACATATGTATACGAATCAAACAAACTCCAAACCCAGCCTCAAATTACCAATCTACTCAGGATCACCAGAACAAAAACCACACAGTCCTCCATCAAACACTTCCACTGTCATCCTGACATTCAAAGGCACCAAACTTCCTGATAAAATTATATTTGGATCAATCTCTTGCAAAGTACACAACTAGAAAAAACACACAATTCAATGTACTACCTGTCACCTTTTCGGACATGTTCAATCAAATTGCAAAAACCTAGACAGATGCTCCAAATGCAGCTCCGAGTTCCATAACAGTCCAGAGTGCACTCAACAACTGTATTGTATAAACTGTGATCAGTACGATCATAACGCCTTCTCAAACTCCTGCCCAGTTCGCCCAAACAAAATCCTATTAATAAATAAACATCTCACAGCATCTGACCTACCCGCCCCTGCCGAACCCTTAAACTCCAAAATATACAATTGGTACGACCAACCCCAGTCGTACGCATCCTCAAATGGCGACGACGACGTATTCCCACCACCATTAAATCCCCAAGAGTCAAGAGCACCAAGCTCCAGTCGCTCAGCTAGTCTGGCATCTTCCCGGGGTCGTAGGATCACACAACACAAAAACAAAAACAAAGCTGCCGCCCCGGCTGTCACAGCCACCCCAGCCAGCCTTGAGCAACCAGCAGTTGCTCCTCCCCAAATCCCACAGATCAAACTCAACTCCGCGCCCAAAACACACAGCACAAGTCACAATTACGCAACTACAAAATGTGCAAAATAAGCTCATAGAATTCATTACCGCACTAACTCTCTCTCCCAACAACACAATAGAAACAATTCACGAATATCTCCTCCAAACCTCACTCGACACGCTCCCATTAGCACAATTTCAACACAATGTTAAAACCGTCAAACTAACATGAGACACAACACACGCGTTCAATCTAAACTACACATGCTTCTACTTGCACTACTACCAGTAGTCATTATGCATATTATCCAGTGAAATGCAAATGGCTTCATACCTAAATCATATGAAATAAAATCACTCAAAAAACTAAATAAGCTAAATCCACCAAAAATAGCCATTCAAGAATCAAAAATACAAAAAAATAAACAATTCACTATACCAAACTACTCCACACTCAATAAATACCGCACAATAAACAATCCAAACGCTACTCGCGGTGGCCTTTCCTTATTCATACATGACTCACTCAGTTACAAACAAATACAAATAAACATACCCCACTTGGAAACACAAGCATATGTAATCACGATGGAAAAAAACAAACATAACACTAGTCAACATATATCCCCAAACCACAAACCCTATGGACAAAACTGACCTTGAAATACTAGCTAACCATATTTCTAAACACACAATCTTTTTAGGAGATCTAAACGCGCATCACCATAGCTGGACCACCAGAAACCACTCAGACAAATTTGGAAAT